TCCGGCGTTCCTGCTCACATCGATTGCACTGCCTCCGAAATCGGCCCACTTTAAGAAAAAAAAAAAACGACAGGGGTTCCAACTCAGGACCGCTTGCTTACGAGGCAGATGTCTTAACCACTACGCTACAGTCCAACATTGCATATAGCCGCTCAACGTCTATACAGGAGAGGGCGCTGAGGTCAAATGCGTAAATAATTGCGTTAAACTTTGCATGCATTGGCTCAACGTTTAAAGACGAGAGGGCGCTGCGGTCAAATGCTCAACTGCGTATATAACCACGATCCATACCGCAGATTCTCTTTCTGACATGGATCGTTGACTTAAGCGGTGGAGATGCGTTCCCACGGCTTCTAGCGGATCCAAGCTGATCCGCTAGAAGAACCACTGGCTCTGCATTTCACCGACCATAAAGCAGTAATAATGAAGTAGAAACGCAACCCGGAACTCAGCACTACCTATGAGCAATAAAAAAAATCAGCACCATCAGCACACCTATGAACAATAAAATCAGTATCATCAGCACCACCAGAGCTTCGCCTCAATCAACATCATTCACCACGTGGAGATGCGTCCATTTTTTTTTTTTTTTTACCGGCTTTTTATTTCGCTCGTCTGTGGCAACGCCGCCTCAACGTGTGGCCGTACTTAGTTTTCCCCACGACGCAGGGGAGGCAGGCTCTCTCGGCAGGGTCGTGCCGCTTGAGACGCTGAACATCGCGGCGATGGTGAGGGGAATTCACAGCGGAGAGACAGTGCTGAGTACGGCGAGCGTCGGAGGCACTCCCATACGTTGCGAGGGTGTTCGCCGTACCTCAGGCGGGGGTCGTCTGGGTTGAAGTCACGCAGCCGAAGTCCACAATAGGGGCATCCTCGGTAGATGTGGTCGGCTTCCCCGCAGTGGTAGCAGTACGGGCGTCGGTCGGACGTTCGCCATACGTCAGTCTTTATCGGCAAGTGTCATTCCGGGCGAACGAAGTTGACTTGTCCTTTCTGGCGTCCAGGATACCGCGGCATTGTGGTGTTTTGTCGGGGTGGCTTCGGGGCTTGGCGGGAAGCTTGTGGCGGTCGTCGGGCCATGGCGGCATAGCTCAGTGACGGCTCCTCTGGCGCAGCCGTGGTGACAGGAACCTCTGGTTCTTGCGCCCAATGTACTTCTTCGCAGGCAGCCTCGTCCATGGAGGAGGTGGCTGGACGATTAGCGGCTAGCAGCAACCTTCAGTATTCCTCCCGGGTGAACTCCCGAACAATATTGCGGATGTTTCGTGTACCAGGAACGCTTTTGCCGCTAAGCAGCGTGGATGCAGTGACGCTTAAATGTCGCTGGTAGTGGGAAGCGCGCGCTTGGAGGGAGCTCTTGATCTGTGTTGCATCGGTGATGAAGAATTCGACGATGACCGGCGGGTTGCGGACGAAACACCCAGAGATGTCGTCTTTCACCCGGCGAATAAGGATTTGCAGCTTCTTGTCGTCTGTGACTCGGGGTTGGCACGGGCGGTGAGGCGCAGGACATCTTCTATGAAGCCGGTCACGCTTTCGTTGGACCTTGGGTTCGAATCCGGAGAAGATCCTCTGCACTCTCCCGCTGGTGTTGGGTGGCAAAATTCCACTGCAGCTCTGCCACACAGATGTCCCACGACGTAAACAAAGCCTCGTGGTTCTTGAACCAGTGCCTCAAAGTACCCTCCAGTGAAAAGTAGAGGTTCTGCAGGCACTGCTCCGCAGTCCATTGTTGTAGTGTGCCACACGCTCATAGTGTTGGATCCGGTCCTTGATGTCCTTGTGGATCTCGCCGTGGAAGGGAGTCGGCATTCGAGAAGTGAAAGGCAGATAGACGATGGAAGGGGTGACAGGGTTTTGCTGGGACATCGTCGTCGCCTTGATGTTCGACTTTTCGGATAGAAGTCCAAACTCAGTGGCTCTCCTTCGGTGTGGTGGGCGGCAGGGGTTTCTGGCTTTTCGACGGGAATTTACTTTCCGGAAATTGAATAAGATCGAGCTCGACATATCGTTTGAGGTGTACGTTTCACTGACATGGAATGCGGTACCCAACACCTCTACAAAAATGTCACTAATGACAATTGATAAATGAACCAATAACTAAATAAAACTAAAATTTTAATGGGGTGACCTTATGTCCGAAACAAAATAGGAGAAGTTTAGCGTCGATGGCGGCATAACAGCTGGATCGAGCGTTCGGGCGAGACTGACTTCGGCTCGCCACGCGGGGTTCCTTATGTACACGCGTGGGGGACTGGAACATTTGGCACAGAATGTTCGGCGCGTAGAACATTCGTAACTTGTTTAGGCGACAAGGTTCTCTAACTTATGAGAACGCTGAATTGAAAGAATAAAATAGAAGAAGCGTCCGCTTCGAGAATCTAACCTCGGGCACGATCACCATTCGGGCACGTACGCGCTCGCTGGGCGACGCGCGTGGAGATATATGTGTCTGTATGTGTATATCTGTGTATAGGGGTACATCTCTGTGTGTGTGCGTATATCTGTGTGCATGTGGGGTTATCTGGGTGTATGTTATACATTTGTATATGGTTATATCTGTGTGCGTATATATATATATGCGCGTGCATGTGAAAATTTACGTGTGAATGCAAGTATATCTGTGCATATGGGTATATATGTGTATATAATAACCTGTGTGGATGTGAGTACATCAATGTGGATGTAGGGTTTAATGCGCGTATGTTATGTGTGTGTGTGTAGGTATATAAGTGGGCACGTGTATATATCTATGTGCATGTTGGTATCTCGGTGTGTATGTGGGTACATTTATGTATGTGGAGATATCTATATGTATGTAGGTTTTTCTGTGTGGATGATGGGATATTTGAGTATGTGTGGGTATATATTTGTATATGAATAATTTGTGTGTATATAGGCTTATCTGGGTAAATGTCGATGTATCTCTGTATGAGGTTAAATATGTGCACATCTGGACATAACTCTTTTTGTATGTTGGGTATATATTGACGTGTCGGTAATCGTAGGGCTGCTTGCGTCTGAGCTCAATTATGCACGCGTGTGGATTGTTTGTGCCCATGACCATGGGCCCGTGTATTTGTGAATTCACGTGTCTGTCGGTGCTTACACGTGCCCTAGAGTCTGATGAAGTTCTGTTTGTGTTTGTGAGTTCGTCTTTGTGTGTGCTGGTTCGCGTATCTGTGTGTCTTGGTCACTGCTTCACAAGCGTGCTTGCGTGCGTCCACGGGCTTTTTATGGCAACCCCGAACGTAAGAAAATAGGGCGTGGCGAGCTCGAAGCTCCTAATTGACCCTCTGCAGCGAACACGTTTGCGGCAATAGTCGATAAGAACACCGAAGAGCTAATCGCGAAGCAAGAAGTGTAACCATAACAAGCCAAGCCCCATGAGTCTTAAGTCGTCAATGACTATAGTATGTTAGTGCATGTTCACGTGCCTGTATGTGATTCTATACTTCGTTTCACTTTAAGCCCAGACGCAGCCAACCTTGCGAAGCGGACATCGTCAAAAGCGCACTATCACGTTGATTGTACTGTTTTTATGCGGGTTCTATTATCCCTACATTAACCGTGTTCACGGAAGGCTTAGTGACTTTCACTTTTGGCGCTGCTTGATTGATCCCATTACCTCATATTAACTTTACTAGACCAACTAAATTGGGATACTGCCATAGAGCCTGTTTTAAAAAAAGTGGCACCGATCCAGAATCGAGCTAATGCCGATTGCGACGCCGCCATTTCTCCTGCAGCGGCCATTTCCGGAACTGCACGGCCGCTTGTATTGGTTTGGGAGTATCGCATTCGATAGCGTCCACTGCTACTGTGATGTTTTGTTTTTAATCGGCGATTTCGGCACCTGAATATATACGGTGGAAAGAGTTTCAGGAATGCCACCCCCGTTTCCCGGGCGGACGCGCCGCTACCGAAGTTAGGAAGCGCCCAGGTCGGGACGTGCTACTTGATATCACCGGTGATACACGGTTGTATAAAAACAGTATTAATTGGGCTACAAATCCTCGTAAACTAAAGATTTTCGAAATCATCACGCGCCTGCCATTTTGTACTAGTCTCCAATAGAAGTTCGTACAAAAAGAGTTTTTTTCCCGTTTGGCTTTACGCAAAAACATGCTTTCTAAAAGTTTGCACTGACCACAGTAAAGAAAAAAAAAATTGAGCCGCCATCTTGGCACCTCGAGCCTGGGAGTTTCGGGTCTCTGGAAACATTCAGTGAATCTAGCAGTAGCCATATAAAGCAACTTTCATATTTGAACTTGTCGCTGAATGGTGGTGATGTTATAGTATTTAGATCGGTCTTGGTGGACGCCAGTGGTCCCGGTTTTAAGGGTGAGTTTCCCAACTGAGCGTTTCAGAAACACTGGCTCGTTTCGTCGGCTGCGTTCGGGCTTAAGCTGAAACGAAGTATATGTTTGTGGGGGGTGCTCGTGAGTGCTTGCAAATAACGGTTGTAAGTGTGCGTGCATGCGTATATGTCTCATTCTATTATGAGTGCCGCTGTCTTGATATGCGTGTGCTTCTACACCTTTTAGTCTATATATTAGTGTCATATCTGTACAATTTTTTACTCCATTTACGTGCCTATATCTATATCTTCGCTTCTATATCTTTTTTTGCGCATTTATTTCAACATGGATCTAACATTTTTTTGTGGTTTTAATAATCGGGCAATTGAGAGTTTAGGTCAATATTATATTTACTTCTGAATAAGCTTTTTTAGCATGGATGCTTGATCATCTTGAGTGTAACCACATATAATTGGGAAATATCGTTTAGTGCAACTTGTGGCGTTTTTCCTCTTAATTGAGCGGGGAAATTTTGACATTACGTGGCAATGCTATTTTTTCACCTTTTTTAATTTTGAATGGGGGTGGAGAAGGATCATATATCCTGTCCGTGGAAGCTTGTGCAGCGCTTCAACTGTTTCTTGAGTTCTTTTGAAAAACACGACAAGAAACCGGCAATTTTTTTTTTCTATCGCGCAGCCCCGACAGGCACGCCTTCTACACTGACCGTCCACACAACCGGGTCGCAGTCTCTCAAGGTTTCCTGGAAGGTGAGCAAAGCACTAATCAATGCGAGCTCAGTAAACCGGAGAGGAACCTCGAGGTTCTCTTGACGTTTGGTAATGCAACTCGGATAAGAGGTAGGCTCTTTTGTTTGGCGATGAATTAGAAGGCGAAATTTAGATGGGAAGGCTCGTTCTGAAAAAAAAAATACAGTTGTGTTAGGCAGATATTTTTCTTTTAGTTTCCATCTTGAAGGCTTACCACCTTAGTCTTCCTTCATTTCTGAAATATGGTATTGTGATGAATACCACTGTGACAATAAACGAAAGTTGGATTGCAACACAAATAACACTTTATTTTTTTATATGGAGCGAAAGCAAATTGTTTAAATGTTTTCAATATTTGCCTACCTAAACATTCATCCCATGTAGCACGAGAAGGTTCTGAAAACATTCCGGGAATGTTCAAAAGAACATAGGCAACATTCTTGGAATGTTGCAAATTTACGTAAGAACATTCTATCGACGTTGTCAGAATGTGGCCCAGGCACTTATCGCTGCTTTCGGGGAATGTTTTCCAAGGGACATTCTTAGAACGTTGTGAGAATGACACAAAACATTACCAGAGCATTAAATCAACATTCAAATATCCTAACAAGGTTCTAAGAACGTTCTCGGAATATCAGAAAAGCTTCTTCAACTTTCTTGAAATGTTGCAAATTTATGCAGGGACATCCTTTCAATTTCCTCGGAACGTGGCATAGGGACATCGCTACATTCAAGAAACATTCTTTGAGGAATATTTATAAAGATTCCACAATTACGGCTTCCTTAGGCTACAGCCTTAATGAGCCGACTGCATAAATGGATGCGATAAAGCTCCTCACAGGCCAACATGTTTTAATCGAAACTCATTTTTAGCTAGCCGCTTGCCCAGCGCACCAGCCTGAGCACATATCCTAATGACAGTACACTCCTGCATGTCACCTTGTCAACTTCCAATAAAAATGTGCTGTATATATAACCGCTTACTCACTCCGAGCTTAAGATTGAGTACACATGGCATCCCACATTCAACTACGGAATACCTTTTTCAGAGTTTTAAACACCAGATACTAAAAATCTGGTCCATCCAAAACTGTCCCTCTACATACGCAGTGAGTGTCAAGCTCATTATCAAGTTTCTAAAACCATTGCTTTTCTCCTGTGCCTTATATCACATTCCTCGGTAGACCCATAAAAGATAAAACTGATCCCTTACGCTAAGTTTCTAGAGACCCCACTTAATTTGCATATTTTGGCACAAAGTGGCATATAGCGGATGGTGTCTAGAACCACGTGTTGCGTGAGAGCTTTGTAAAGTTGGTTTCACACGCGAACAGTCTAGGAATGTTCGCAAGCGAACGTGCCAAGAATGTTGCGGAAATGAATGTTCGAAACGGAACGTTCTGAGAACATTGTGCATGCGAAAGTTCCAAAAAGAACGTTCCTAGAATGTTGAGCAGCTTACCTTGTAGGGAATGTTCGCATACGAACGTTCGTAGAACGTTCCGAATTTTATTTTAACGTTTCCTTCAACATTCAGAACATCCTGGGAATGTTCGCACAAGATTAGGTGCTAGCTGGGATGAAACGGCTAATTTTGGGAACAGATAAATTAAAAATCGCATTGTTTTGATTTTGGTTCATGCAGGTATTATTTAACCTTATACTTTGTATATTAAAAGTAACAATTTATGCTCCAGTTGATTCTTCACTGTCACTTCGCCCGCACCACAACGCCTGCCTCAGGTAAATGTCGATGTTCGTAAGACTTCACATTACGGTCAGTGACAGCTTAAAAAAAGTAGGGTATGGCAAGTCTAGAAAATCTTACTATCGTCCCTAAGACAAAAAGATTGCGGCATTCACGGATAAAAATTCCAAAGATCAAGAGATGACACGAAAGGGTGAATATAATAAGCTACGCGACGGGGTTTTTTAAAAGGTCAGGGATTACAATCTAAGAAATCCGGAGCTTCCACGTTCCCTCAAAACATTTGGGAGAGCCAATCGATGCTCACATCTACGGATGAAGCTCGGACACTGATGAAACTTATATTATGTTTATACCTAAAAAAAAAAAAATGTCTGAGCCTTGCAACGGAGCGTGGTGAAACACCATGTTCAATTTCACAGCGCACAGTGTTTTTTTAGGTTTAAATATATTTTCAACCACGCTATTCGCCAATCTGCATCCAACAATTGCGGCGATCGGTACTCTCACTTGATTTGAGTGAAACTAGAAGCTTCCAATTTCTTAAGTGTGCTCAGTAAAAGCTCAGTTTTTTATTATCGTGCTCACGATTGCGGTTTCCAGGCTCCAAGCAAGGAGCATCAGCACGGAACGATCCTCGGTTACCGCGTCGGGTACAGGGTTGCCCACTCCGACGACAGCTTCCAGTTCAAGCAGGTGGAGGCTCGTGCTGGCAACAGCGAGGAGGACTCTCCGGGAGGGTCTTCCTTCTTCGAAACCACGTACCTGACTAACCTCCGCCGCCTGACCAAGTACGGCATCGTCGTCCAAGCGTTCAACGCAGCGGGAACGGGACCTGCGTCGGACGAAGTGATTGCCACTACACTGGAGACCGGTGAGCGCCTGGCCCCAATTAAGCGATTCAAGGAGGAGGTTTGGCGCCCGCCTCCTTCAAACGACGGGAAAGCTTGGAATATTGTAGTCACAACAGAGTGAGGACGGCAGGGCTTGTCTTTCAAAGGTCCAGCCTCCGGCCCGCGCTGCATGCCTCCCGCCATGGTTTAACTGCGCGCGTGTGCTCGTGGTGCACGAGTCTAGGAAGAGTTGTCGAAGGTAAAAAGCTCACGCTAGAAGCGACACTGCTGAAGTAGCTCGCTACTGAAGAGAGATATAGAATGTACTTTATGAAACATAAATTATGTGCTCAGAATGTCACTGGCTTGGTATACCAAGGCTCAAGTTGCTCCGACGCTAGACACGCAATACAGGAAGTTGTAGGAGGGTTAGTGTACTCTCTACTATTCTCACCTTGACAGTAACTATAAGCAGTTTCGGCATGGTGGTCCCTTGCGAAGCGGCAATTCTACCGTGAGCTCTCGCTACTTCTCATCATGCTTTTCAACGAGCGTCAAAATCCCTACTGCTAAAACTGCTTGTTATGCTGCCTTGAGCGCGTCTTCGACCAATGTTTTTACCGCGTCATCCAATGGGGTATCGTAATTGAGGTACCGTGCCGTTGACTCCACCGTTCCTGACGGTAATACAGCAGCGGACGTAGATGCGGCAGGTGCCTGTTCTGCTGTCTCTGGCTCTGTAGCCAAAACGTCAACGGAAGTCAGGTCGAACACGACGTGGGACGCCGCGACGACAGCGATCCGTCGACATTTAGGACCACATTTCTAAAGCCAACCGCCAGGATAGCGACATCCTAGAGCATGACACGCCGGCTGTGATTCCATTTGATGGCACTTGCATACCACTTTTGGTGCAAGAGCAGGAGAAGACGGAGAAGTACCGGTCAAAAACACATTGCAGGCACCATAGAAATATGGTCGCAGAACGGAAGCGGAAGTAGCGGAAGTTTTGTGAGGAGATGCGGTTCCTGTTCTGTCTCCTCTGTATTTTATTGTGCTCCCATTATGCTTTAAATGAGTGCTAAGTTAATAGGTGCAAAATAGTATTTTCTGAAAGGAACGCTTGATGCTATATAAATTTTGGAATGTTTTCTGCGACTACAGTAATATAGGGACCAGACGGGGAAGCAGGGGGCCGAGATTTCATCTAACCTGAGTGATACAGTCATGTTTCGTTAATAGGGACTTTTATATTATAAATATCAAGATATAAAGGTGAACTATTTCAGGGCGGATTGTTTAAATATCTACAGTTCTGAATTTTTATAAAGGAAAAAAGTTTTAAGCTACCATAAAATGACCGTGGTATTTTTGTTTTTAAGTTGGGGGTTGTTAATAACTAATTGCCTTTGAACGCGGTGTAAATTAGCCACTCCCACGTAACTTAAAAAACAAAATATATATTTTTTTCTTTCTAAACACTTTGTCTTGAATGTCTAATGAACAAACCCGTCATCACAAGCTTGAAACGAAACCCCGTCTTAAAAAAATAAGGATAAAATATTCCCGTTTTCTAACTGTAATATTTATTTGAAACTAAAGAAAATATAAACAAACTATAACTTAAATATTACCCAAACGATTTGGCTCCAGGGGAAATTTTTAAGGTGGTTCTAACCTAACAGGCACTTGCACATTATCCGTCAACGTTCTCGCTCTATCCGTAGCGATTCTTGTTTTGACAGATACTCTTTGCAACAATTTACGGGGTTTAATTTGCTGCTGAAGATCACGCGTTTATGCTTCATAATCAGATCATTTCTTTTCGTTAAATTCAAACTTGCTGTCTGGCGGATGTATGTTTAATTACTCAGATTACAGTTATCTTAATGGACTGGAGTAGTGAAATCCAGGGGATTTGACGGGAGGGGGGGGGGGGGGGGGGGACACTAAACACACAGAGGAAAAAAGTGTGCAGATTGAACATATTGCAGATATTTAGAAAACCATTCCTACTCTTGTGTCATCCAGAATATGTCCTTATCTCGAGAAAAAGACTAAAGAGGAAGCTATTAAGCCTCGAATTGAAACGGATTACGTTTAGAATTCCCCCTTATTAAAAAAAAAAACGATAATTAGAAAAAATCACGCAGGTGGCACGCTAGTGGTACAAGTTTGTCGATCCTGGGGGCCCAATCCGGGCCTAATGCGGTTTCGCTACATGGCGTTAGTTAGTGCAAAATTACTTTTCTTTGTCGTTAAGAACTTTATTGTTAGAGCCAGATAACGTCATATATGAACCGAAGAACCAGCAGTGTTTCCTAAATCCGAACTTGTATCGCAATTTAGGCTCGGTGTTTCCATATGAAAGCCGACAAGAAGTGATTCCTTACTCTGACACTTGTTTGGAATTTTTTAGCCCAAAGATTACAGATGAAAGTCAAAACAGCCAACGATAAAGCCGAACTGTGGCACTTGCCTGGCGAATTAGGGCCAAGATACCCAAAACGCTGGCCAAACACTGTCAAGTTTGGCTCTACCGGAGCTTCTTCGTGCCTCCTAAATTCCCAGACAAAACCCAAATTTTGCCCAAAAGAATTCTGCTACCTGGGTAGGGACCAAGAAGGTGCCTTTGAATAGATCACTAGCCAATGCAAGGCCAAACATTATACAAAAATGCTGGAAGAAAGTTTTCCTCGAAGAACTAAAACCTTAAATAAACCAGATCATCACATTATTTGTGGATATAATTCTACGCAAGAATTAGAAACAGCGCAGTGTTTGTTTGTTTTTTGTGTTTTTCAGCACCTCCAACGTCCCCGGCGGTTAAAGCAATCCCACTGTCATCGACATCGCTATCCGTACAATGGGAAAGAGATCCTAAGGACAAGTCATCGGTTACAGGTCAGACCAGTCTACCGTTTATTCGCCGCGAAACGATCATTAAAAACGTTTACTCTCATTATGGTTCCCTCAAGTAGATTCCAACTGGCGTGTCTAACTACGACCTTTTTTCCCACAATATTTTGTTTGTAAAGAAACAAGTATGTTTTTCTATTGTTATTTAAAATGTTCTTCGCAATCTTGGAAATGGCAAAGTAGCAGAGGTGGAAACGGTGGGCGCATTGTCTGCTGCAGCTCGCTATGCAGCGGGCAGTCGGTAGAGACTCTGTGGTGGCAGCGAAACATGAGTCCGCTCGCCTTCATCGCCTCAGCTTCTACAACTAACTGCCAGGAACGCGGCAGCTAATTGCATGACACGCCTACAACTTTGACTGTACATTTGTAACTATGAGAATGCTTCAATCTACGGCCACTTGAAACTTAAAATGTACCAATTGGCGACGCGTTTTCGGCACAATAACGGGAATTAATGTATTATAAATAATTTTACCAATTTTAGAAAACTTTTCTCTATATGACAATAACATTCGCCAAGCCCCAACTCGTAAAACAACCTAGCCTAGAAATATAAAATATGTTAAGCTAGCATTAAGATAAAGAATAGAAGAAACAACTTATCTCTAGGGTACACCTCAGGTAAACAAAACATTCAGAAAGATGCCATGCAGTGCGTTGTTTTAGAGCGTGATGAAATAATGAAGAAACTATATAATACTTATGCTATAGCGAAAAACATCTTTTTACACACTATTTATATTTACGGGACATTATAATGTCGCAGATGGAAAAGGTTAGAAAAGCGTAAAACTTAATATTTATATTTCATGGGTGAACACGATCATGAAAGAGAAGGATTAGCGTCCAGAAAATAGCGGCGAGCGTCGAAAACAGCAGCAGCAGTGAGCGTCGAGGTGCAGGCGTGAGAGTTGGCGAGCGCTGGAGTGTGAGAGTGAGTCGGCAAGGCCACGCTAGGCTTCTTATCTATTACATTCGGTATCTCGAACATTCGGCCTAAAATGTTCGAGCGTTGAGCGCTCTCAAAACTAACTTGGCAAGGTCATACTGGCCTCCTTGTCTATTACCCTCGATATATCTAACATTCGGCCTAGAATGTTCAAGCGTCGCACTAGGGCGAGACTAACCTGGCAAGGACGTCTAGGCCTCCTTATCTTTTACGCTGGGTATCTCGGCTTAGAATGTTGTGGCGTCGAACATTTTGGGTAATAGTAAACGCGAGTCTTACAGAAGTATAATAATAATAATAATAAATATTTATTTTCAAGTGCCCAAAAACAACCAACAGGTCTTTTCTTTGGTACACATAATAAATGAGGAATTAAAATAACAGAGACATGGCAAAAATACACAAACGTTACAAATTGGCGACAAGCACTTTCATTTTCATTGCGAACACCCGAGAGTCGCTAAATATATCCACTTCAGCATTGTTGATGCGGTTAAAAAGCAGTTGGCAGCGTGATAAAGGCGAGAGATCACAGACAGTATTAATGTAAAAGTACTATGATTTCTAGTGGGTCGGGAGGGAACATGTAAATTAACATCACTTAAAAGCGAGCCACAATCAGATACACCGTTTACTAACTTATGAAAAAAACTAAGTCACGTTCCGCTCTTCTATCGGACAAGTTTGTTAACGAAACTTTTTTTAAGAAGAAATTCATATTCAAAATAGAAGCGACGATGAGAGTATCGATCATACACGATGCGTATTAACCTCTTCTGTACATTTTCAATGTTCAATGCCTGAGTTTTATTTAACGCATTCCAAGCTACTGAAGCAAATTCAAGTCTAGACCTGACTAGGGCACAAAATAACCGAACCAAGGAAGCCGGGTTATTAAAGTGCTTCGTAATTTGAGATATAACACCAAGCATTCTTGTTGCACTGCCAACGACAAATGACACATGGGCAGTAAACGTTAGAACATTATCAAGGTATACGCCAAGGTCTTTTAGGACAGAAAGACGTTTGATAGGCATCCCCTCTAAAACATAATCGCAATCTATTATGGTGTGACGCCTTGAGAAAGATACGACTTTTGTTTTCAATGGATTCAGAGATAAGTTATTCGCTGTACACCAAATAGCAATCTGTGAAACATCATGCTGTAGAGCGTTGCAGTCGATAGAAGAGTGAATATTCATAAAAAGCTTGATGTCATCGGCAAACAACACAATTTGAGCGTTATCAACATATGACGGCAAGTCGTTGATGAATATCAAAAACAACAACGGGCCAAGAATGGAGCCTTGAGGGACACCAGATGTGGAAAAGAAGTGGTCGGAATGACTGTTATCTACACGAACCGAGTTCCGTCGAGATGACAAATAACTACGGAACCAGTTACATAGCTCTGGGCAACAACCATATGACGATAATTTGTGTAACAGCAATTCATGGTTTACTTTATCGAAGGCTTTAGACATGTCAAAAAGATACAATCAACTTGTCCTCTGTTTGTAACAACAGGGGCAGAGTAATTTAAAAAAGAGCAAAGATTTGTTTCAACCGAACGTCCCTTCAAAAAACCATGCTGACACTCTACAAACTTATGCCGAAAATAAAAAAGAATCCGGGAATACGTAACCCGTTCAAAAACTTTAGAAAATCCAGATAGCAAAGATATTGGGCGGTAGTTGCTTTTCACAGAGCTGTCACCTTTTTTCAAAACTGGTACAACAACCGCTTTTTTCCAAAGGGAGGGAAAAACACCAGAACTAAGAGAGAGGTTGAAGATGTGCAACAAAATAGGTATAAATAATTCGCTACATCCCTTAATAATAAATGATGGAATAGAGTCAGCTCCTATAGATAGCTTCGGTTTTAATTTTTTTATTGCTTCCGCAATTTCAACGGCATCTACTCTAATACCAGACAAGAAATCATGGCAGTTGGTTTTTATTTCTTGCGGCTGAGTGCTTTGCTGAAAGGTTGAATAACAACAGCTGAAGTAATGAGCAAAAATATTGGCAACTTCTGTAGGCGAAGATACATAGTTAGCGTTGTTATCTGTGCGCAGACAAAGACCTTGGTTAAAGTTGCGCGTGTGTTTCTTGGCATAGCGCCCAAAGGTTTTAGGGCGCCGGTTTAGGCTACACTCCACTTGTTCAAGGTGCAAGCGTTTGTCCCTAGCGTACAGCTTTTTAACTAGAGCCCTGTAAATGCTAAACTCAGTATAAAATAGAGACAAACCAGTACGTTTGAAGAGTCTATGAAAATGGTCTTTTTTACAAAGGTAGATTTTCAACTCTTTGGAGAACCATTCAGGGTGAATTGAAGGCTTGGAAATGCGCCGTGGTACAAATGCATCAATTGCGTTTTTAACTATGGACGAAAACGTCTCGGTCACCAGCTCAACATCATTTATGACAAGAAGTTCACTCCAGTCAAAGTTTTGGAAGTATTTGTACATGTTCAGGTAATCGCCTTTATGATAGCAGTACGTAGTGTAGGAATTTGAAACTGGCATCTTACGAGGAAGAAAGAGCCCAACTGTGAAAGGTGTCTGAAACAGATCCATTTGTACCATTGGACTCAAAGAAGGAGTTACATAGTCAACAGACACGTTAGATAAAACAAGGTCAAGGGTATTTCCAGCGATGTTCTCAGTTGTGTTCAGTTGATTCAACCCACAAAAGTTCATAAACTCCAACAAGCATGTGGCCTTATAGCGTGTTATCAGGTTGTTGCTCTTTACAAGACCAAGTGTCCAGTCTACTCCTGGAAGGTTGAAATCGCCATAAATCTGTACTCTATACTTGCTGAAATCTATATGAATCTTAAGTGCCTCCAGATGCTCAACGAAGACCATTTGATCAAAGAGTGGTGGGAAATAGTAGTTACCAACTAGATAGTTGAAACCGTCACGAGATTTTATTTCTAACCATACACACTCAGAATAGGATTCTAAGTCGATACGACGATGAGAACAAAGAGATGCCTCGGCAGCAATTAAAACACCACCACCAAGTTTTTGACCAGTGGTTTGATAATCTCGGTCCTTTCGATACACTTTGTAATTAGGTGTAAAATAGTTTGAGGTAGGTATCCCATCGCACAGCCATCTTTCTGTAATGCAGACAATATCAAGCTTAGTTGTTATCAAGTTAGACATAAACTCGTCGGCCTTTGTACGAAGGCCCCTCACGTTTTGGTAGAAAACGCTAAGCGTTGACGCCATTATCGGGTGCTACTGTTTCCACGTTATAAACACGCGTACTGTCAAGGCGGCCGAAAAACTGGTGGAAGATGCTACCCTCCGGCCAGACTTCGGGTTTGTTTAGCGCTGCGAAAACTGCCTCGTCACAAGCCAAGTGAAAAGAAGAGTATGAAGGAAATCTAGTTTTCATCTTTGAACAGACAGGTGTTCGTCCCTCCAGAAAAGGCTCTATCAGAACTTCGATATCATTCACAGACGTTTCTGGGTCTAGTCTAGACACAAATAGCGCCATATGGCGTACGGGCGGTGGCGCAGCATTTACCTTATCAGGTTTAGCGGTGCCCGACGAAGGTTTCACACGTCGCCGAGACTTGACAGGGACGAAACCGTCATCCACCGTATTCGCTGACTGTAGTCCATTCAAACCAAAGTTCCGCATTGGGAAATCACGTTCAACAGCACTCACTTCGTCTGGATGTGAAGTCGTTTGGCCAGGGTGCTTTTCTTGACGGAGGGTGGACGAGGGTTGATGTTGCACGTTCTGGGGCAGCCATGCTGACCGAGGAGGACTGTTGGGTACAGGTGTAGGCGTAGCTGGCGGCAGTCCAGTGACAGTAGCGTATAGCGGCCGCGATGAAGGAATTAGAGGGATTCTGTCCAAGACGTTCTTGCGGAGTTGCAGAACTTCAGAACGAAGACTTCTGTTCTCAGCGCGGAGGCACTGGAATTCCGCCTTCAGTATGTCCAGTTTGCCGCTCAAAGTTTCCAAGACACGCATGAAACTTGCAGGAAAAGGTAGGCTCTCTTGCGCAGAAGCCG